TTAGATGACCCTTGAAGTTATAACAATAGGAATAAAAAAACTAGCTAACATAAAAGTAGCTGATCACTAAAAGAAAGTTACCCACAGTCATACTGCAGCCTCCACAGGTGTACTGCTGTTTTTGAATTTTGTATTGGGATTAAAAGATGCACATCCTCTCTCGCACCAGCTGATCCACATTCTGATACTTCTGCAGAAAATGTTTCGTAAAAAAAGCTCTCTTTCTCCGCAAGGGAACGTGAAGTTCGTGACTTCGGTGGCTTGTTCCTTGTGTTGTAGCGTGAGGAACCTCGGCCGAAGTCGTAGCGTAGCGAGTGAGGCTGTTCTGCTGGTGACCTTGTAGAACACACACAACCGCAGCTACGTCCCTGCGTGCTGAGAGACTGGAAGTAGGACCGGGCGATCATTTTCCCGCATCTTAAATTCCACAAAGCGCGGATTGGCTTGGACTCTGTCGATAAGTAAAGGATGGCGGGCAGGACGGAACCATACCAGAGGGAATATTCCCATCAGGGAGCGAACTTAGAATTGTAAGCATGCAGCAACCTCCGCTGTTAGAAGATGAGAGATTCGGCGTACGCATGCCAGTTACGAGCTGCTCTTTTGGCCACATCCATTACGTGACTAGTGAATGTCAGCTGATCATCAAACTGTACTCCAAGGATGCTAATTTCTCTAGTCAGATCGAGCGTTTTCCCATCAACACTGATGGAGGGGGTTAGGGGGCTCTGTCGACGGGATGACAGACCTTTGTTTTATCGTTGCATTTAACCTGCCATCGTCTACCCCCACAGGTGATAGTTGAAACACCATTTGATGATGTTCAGCCGTGGCTTGCGTTTGCAATGGTAAATGACAACGTCAGCGTCAGCATATGCCTGGGCCTGAATCAAATGTGTAGTATGTCAATGAAATAGCGTTCCATTAAGAAAAGGGCCAATGACAATGCCCTGTGGTACACTTGCACTGATTAGGTATTCATTTGAAGTGCAGCCATTTACCACAACCTGGAGAGTCCTTCCTCGTAGATAATCTTTAATCATCTTCAGCAGATCACCATCAATGCCAAAACTCTTTAGTTTGGAAGTAATGCCTTTGTGCCATACTCTGTCGCAGGCACCTGCGATATCCAGGGCAACGACGTAAGTTTCTTTGCCAGCATCAAGGGATTTATTCCAGCTGGTGACTAACTGTATAGTTAGGTCGATGCTGATCTCTCCGATCTAAAGCCGAACTGCTTGCTACTGAGTAGGTGGTTGCTGTCGAAAAACGTCATCTATTCACCAGATTTTTTCATAGATTTTGCCTATAATCGAGAGGAGTGAGATTGGCCTGTAGTTGTTAGGGAGTGCCCGGGTTTTCTTTTTATGCACTGCCACAACTCTAGGCTGTTTCCAGATAGCTGGCCACTTTTGCTGTTGGAGACAGCAATAAGGTTGCAAGAGGAGTTGCAAGCTGGTCAGCACATTTTTTAAGTATGTGGGGACGTTGTCAGGTCCATAAGCTTTATTAACCTCAGTCTTGAAAAGATGGTGTTTGACTTCATCAGCACAGATGACCAGTGAGTTAAGTCTCTGATTAGTCATTGATGGAAGCTGAGGTGTGCGGTCAGGTTCACAGACTCACATCTTCTGTGAGAAGGAAGCAAGTAATTCGGCTTTGTCCTGACCAGATGTCTTTCTCTCTCTCTCTCTCTCTATCTATCTATCTAACTCTCTCTCTCTCCTCTTTATTACTTCTTTCTTATTCTCTCTCTCTCTCCCTCCCTCCTCCCTCCCTCTCCTCCTCTCTCCTCTCTCTCTCTCTCTCTCTCTCTCTCTCTCTCCTTATCTCTCTCATTCTCTCTCTCTCTCTCTCTCTCTCTCTCTCTCTCTCTCTTATTCTCTCACATTCTCTCTCTCTCTCTCTCTCTATTCTCTCACTCTCTCTCTCTTCTCTTATCTCTCTCTCTCTCCCTCTCTTCTCTCTCTCTTTCTCTCTCTCTCTCTCTCTCTCTCTTATCTCTCTTCTCCTCCTCTCTCACTCCTCTCTTCTCCTCTCTCTCTCTCTCTCTATCTCTCTTATTGTCTCCTCTCTTCCTCTCGTTCTCTCTTACTCTCTCCCTTAATCTATTCCGTCGCTCCCGACGGCGGCACCCTCGATAGGGAGCCCGACCACGGAGGTGCGAGGCGCGTCACGTTGTAGCGGACGTGATGTACCCGCACTATTCGCGAGTCCCCCCTGATAACAGCACAGCACCTCCGGTTCAGCACCATCTGTAGGAGTCCTTGGCAGCCACCTGGGGAATTTTTATGTTTTGTTTTATTTACACATTTTAGTCATCTTTTGACGGCCTCGGGTTTATTTTAACTTTTAGGGTTAAATAAGTTTTACTTTTATTTTAATCTATTTTATTTTAACTTATAATATTCAAAACAATTTGCGACAAGACACACACCAGTTGATAAAATCTCTAGTCTTGCCGCCGCGTCTCGCCGTCATGTTCTTCGCTGTCTTCCTCTTCCTCTTCTTATCAGTCTTATTTATCTGTGAACTAGTCCTGTCTCCTCCTCCTCAAGTCCTCCGCATGGTTCGTGGGTTCTCTTGCCGCATGCTTTCTCCATTATTCATGTTTACTTCATTCTCATCGAATTTCTTTTGCTTTCAAATATATACTTAGGCCTACTTAATTTTTTCATGATTGTTTTTTTCTTTCCTATGACTTATCTACTCTCATTTTTAGTATTCACACTTCTATGCTTAGTTCTTTCCTATTACTTAACTTCTTAATCATTTTTATTACTCGTCTATTTATATGCTTATTTCTTCCCTGACTTTTTTTTTCCTATTTCTTATCTCAATATTTTCCGTCTTTCTTTCGCATTAACGGACTTTATCCCTTATTTAACTATCCTTTGTTCTTTCATCTCTTATAAATTCACTTGCTTCGTTCTGTTATCCTTGCCTGTGTTGCAGCCCCAGCTCGCCTGCCTTGCATGAGGCACGCCACCTCTTCGGGCACACTGCTGGCCTCTGATCAATACGCAGGAGGGACGTTACACAGATAATTAACGCTCAACACACAGACGCGACAGAAGGAGGTTAAAGAACTCTCGATATACACTCGTAGGCTGCGATGACATCATTAGGATCGATTATGCAACCGTGGCGCCTTGGTACACTGCGGCCACGAGAGTGAGGCGCGAGAGGAAGAGCTCGAAGGAAAGGAAAGGAATTTTGTATTACTAGTCAAAATGAAATAAATAATTTTCATTACTATTCACAATAAGATAAATAAAATTCCTTACTAGTCACATGAAACGACACGATGCTCAAATATTCATCAATAAGCTTAGACAGTTTGTTGAATCAGTAAAAAAGTAATAATAATAGTTTAAATTAAAGAACATGAAAACCCGTAACAAAACAAAACAAACGCCGTGCAACCGGCCAAGCGCAGCCACCATTCACGGACCCTCATTCCCCAGACATGTCGCACTCCGCAGACGAGGTAGCCTGTGTTTGATACAAGTTACTGCAGTGTAATTCGAGACCGAGTGAGAGCGTCATCCTAGAGGGTCCAGGAGAGGGAAAATTAATACGTGACCGTTGATTATAAGCTATGACGCAGGACTAGACACACAGATTGTTGCAATAAAACTACTACATTATTCCCACAAGACAGTATATGGTAAATCCGATATATACATAGTAGATTTGAGATTTCCCAATATAGCAAACAAGTAGGGCGCCATAGAGGTAGGAGAGTTGCCAGTTAGACTTTTACGCTGACTATTTGGTCCAGTATCCCGTTATATCCGCAGTCGACCGCAGTTTGCACTTGACTCGCTATTACTAGGTCATCATTCGGGAGGAAAATAACTGTTTTTTGAATACCTAGCCGACATTATTGACTGAAAATCTAGATTGATTGAAATTATGCTTAGTATAAATGAGGAAGTTCAGTAATTGAGTCTTTCCCTCAATTGAAGGAGTTATTTCACAGACTTCTAAGGGAAAACACGATGAAATTCGATATCTGGCAACATAAGCGGCCGTGAATGCTCGATAGTGCAATGACTAAACACATGATTATGTATTGTCTGGGTATGTGCAATCGGCTTAGTTGTATCATAACTGTATCATCTGTAGTTTCCTTATTTACGAATAACCTTATCTGCATGCTTGTCCACTGCAGCATATTTTGTTTTGGCTTCCCTGCCTATACTGGGAATGCACTATAAATATTATCCTTTGTGAAATAAGCATTTCTTTCAAATTAAGGCACACATTCCTGGCTCTCTCTCTCTCTCTCTCTCTCTCTCTCTCTCTCTCTCTCTCTCTCTCTCTCTCTCTCTCTCTCTCTCTCTCTCTCTCTCTCTCTCTCTCTCTCTCTCTCTCGATCATCGCAATTTACAGACCAACAGTGTATGGCTTCCCCACTAGTAAAGAAATAAAAACAAACATCTGAATACATTAAAATACACCCAAACACAAGATATGTAAATATCAACATTGATACAGATAAATAAACATAAAAAACATTTTGTATACCGTGAATCATTATAAAGAGAAACATTATATAGGTGTTCGGAACATTGTCCGTGTTCGGAATTCTTGTGAATGGCTTCGACTAGACCACTGCGAATCCAATCATGAACACTCACTGACCGATATTGACTGCAGTGTTTTTGTCGGAACCCAGGTGGGCAAGTGGGCGGCCACGAACGCGACCGTGGAGAGAACGAAGAGAGAGCAGCGAAAGTAAGGTTCCGCCCACGATGAACTTTTGGCATTACGGTGTGTTCGGGCGGAAACCAAGGAGAGAGAAAAAGGGTCAGGTAAAATAGCAGATGCTCTGTGTGTGTGTGTGTGTGTGTGTGTGTGTGTGTGTGTGTGTGTGTGTGTGTGTGTGTGTGTGTGTGTGTGTGTGTGTGTGTGTGTGTGTGTGTGTGTGTGTGTGTGTGAAATTACTTTAGGGTACAGCAGTCCTGACTAAAACAAAGGAAATCAAACAACGCTTATGGTATAAACAATGTTATATTTTCCTCATGCATCATCATTGAATAAAATATAAACAATAGTATTTAACAATAATACTTCCTGAATAATATTTGCATTGATCGAGACATGGCATAACTTAGAAAAGGCAGCGAAAAAAAAATCCACATAATATAGTTTCTGTTTTTTTAGGTTTCGTTGATTTGCGAAAATTCATATAAGTCCCAGATTGCAGGTACCAATTGGTATAAAAATCCACAACAAAAAAGTGCCTGACAGAACCCTCCTGAAAAGGGAAGGAAGAGCGCAGATCTTTCTTTTCAATCTAAAAGATAAAGTCCCTTAGCTAAACATAATGTACATGGACGCTGGAAATGATAAGGCAATAACATGGCGAATTCACGTGAATACAGAGACGTGACATCGACTCCCAAAAGACTCTAGCGGCTCTAGTGAGAGATCTGAGACATCTTCCTCTACGCGATAAGAATTACCTCGTGCAATTCTATCAACATCGTGTAGCCAGTGAAGAAAAGACAGAATCCTGTGCATTTCAGCCATAAATAAAGGAAAAGCGAGTGAAACAAAGGAAAGAATCTAATGCCATCTCCAAGACAGAGGGAACGAACACTCTCCGTCTCCTACTGTGTCTCCCTCTGAATCTTCAAGACGGAGGGGACGTTCTTGTCGTGTCTTCTGTGTTTTTTCTGTTATTTTCTGCTTCTCTCCCAGTTTTCTTATCTGCTTCTTCTGTTAACCCTCGCCTCTATCTTGATCCGTTTCAATGCCGGACTTTTTCCTTCTTTTTTCTTTTCTTTTTTTCTCTCTGCCTTGTCTCTTCGCCCATCCCATGGTCCTTCTGTTCCCCCTTTCCTCTTGCGTTCCTTCTTCTTAACTTCGCCTTCAACAGAACTACTCTTACTACACTAAGCAATGCAAGAAGCACCGTCGAACAGTGTTGAAGGTCACTTTTATAGACTTTTACTTCTCATCTTCTTGTCTTGAGTCTGACTGCGCCAGAAATCACCCGGTTCGAGTCTTAGGCTTATGTACTCGTGTAAAGTAGCTCTGCCTTTGATTTCCTATACATATTTATATTCGTCTATATTTATATATGTTACAATGTGCAAACAGACCGATTAGACAGAGTAGGGATGGGTGTATGGATGGATAGGTGGATGTGCGGGACGAGAGGCGGCCACGTATCTAGAAGTTCAGTCTGGGGCAAAAGTCGTGTAGCAATAAATGAAGCTTCGAAATACTAATATAATTCACCTTCTAAAAATCAGAACCCGAAATACACTCTATCCATAGACTTTTGCCTCGGACTACACACGCTATTAGATAAAATGGCCCACGAAATGGGAGAAGAGAGGGAAGAGGAGAGTGAAAGAGGAGGAGGAGGGAGAGTAAAGAGGACACAGGAAGAAGCACTACATCCTGGTGGGGACTATGCGAGGACGAAGACCCTCGACCTCGGAGGTGACGAGGACGTCTGCCGATAACTTGGTCGCGTTCCCATTCGCCGCCTTGGGTATGAGGGTGTTGCCTTCGCTGCACATCCCGTACGGCTTGTCCTTCACCTGGAGAATGGCAAACGATTACTGCAAATGCACTGAATTTTGTGATGATATCTCTACGTTGAATGTCCTTGACTTTCTGGCTTTTTTCGGGTCAATATGGGTATCACTTTGCTATATAATTCTGTACCACTTTATTTTTCCTCTTAGGTTTTCAGCGATATACGAAAATAATATAACTAATTTCTATACCCATATCTCTATCTATTTTTTTATGTCTAATTATCTACACTGAGAGAGATGGTTCATCTATGTACAAATGTGACTATGTACATGTACATCGATTGATAAATATATAGATATATAGCGCGTTCCCGCACATTTGTATATGCATGTGTGCAAATAGTTATTCATATGAACATATATATATATATATATATATATATATATATTATATATATATATATATATATATATATATATGTATGTGTGTGTGTGTGTGTGTGTGTGTGTGTGTGTGCGTGTGCGTGTGCGTGTGCGTGTGCGTGTGCGTGTGCGTGTGCGTGTGCGTGTGCGTGTGCGTGTGCGTGTGCGTGTGCGTGTGCGTGTGCGTGTGCGTGTGCGTGCGCGTGCGCGTGCGTCTAGGTGGGGTGTTAATATGTTAATTATGTTGTGTTGTGTGTGTGTTTAAGTATTGTGAGTGTGTATGTGTGTCTGGGGCGGGAGGGCGTTTTTGTGGTGTGTGGCGTCTTTATGCGGGTGTGTATATCTGTGTATGTGAGTATGAGTGTATATGCATCTGTGCGTGTGTGTGTGTGTGTGTGTGTGTGTGTGTGTGTGTGTTGTGTGTGTGTGTGTGTGTGTGTGTGTGTGTGTGTGTGTGTGTGTGTGTGTGTGTGCGTGTGTTACTGCACACGCCAGTTTCCCTTGCTTACCTCCCTGTTCCTTTTGCCTCTGTAGGCATTGATGTAGAAGTTGCCGAAGAGCAGCAGCAGCAGCAGGGAGTGGCCCATCACCAGCTGGGACGCCGCCTTGGGCACGCCCGGGCAGTCGATGAACAGCATCTGCCAAATTGAAAGATCAATAAGCACCTCGGCGACTATCCGTTCGGTCCTCAGGTATCCCGCCCCCTCCACCGCCGGCCCCACTCGCCCTTTCTCGGCCTTTCTCTCTTTTGTCTCTTTTTTATTCTCTCCTTTTTGATGCTTTGGCTTTTGCTATTTTCGTCTGTTTGGTTTGCAGTGTTAGCTCCACTTTCACTTTCGCCTCTGGACTCTTCTCTCTTTTTCATGCCTTATCTTTTCCTATCCTCGTCTATTTGATTTACGTCATGGGCCCACTCTCTCTATCTCTTCGTCTCTCTCTTGCGCTTCTTTTATCCTCTTTTGATTTTCTGTACGTCTCCTTTTTTTATGCTTTATCTTTTCCTATTTTCGTCTATTTGGTTTACGCCGAGAGCCTCACTCTCCCTTTCTCTTCGTTTCTCTCTTTCGCCTCTTTTATCCCTCCCTTTTTAATGCTCTCTACACCTTTTTAATGCCTCAGCTTTTCCTATCTTCGTTTATCTAGCTTACGTCGTGAGGGAAAGAGGAGTATACCCTTTCAGCTCTTTCAGTGTTTGCGATCTCTCTCGCGCTTCCTCACCCCTTGATGTTCCTCTATGTTATCTCCCGTGCTAATTAAATGAGTCCTCTGGAAGGTGCCAAAGGATTTTAAGAACGAGGGCGTAAATATAATAATGATGCGTTCTTTAAATAACAGTATGTGCATATGTCAAGCAAGAGATGGCGGACCTTCATGTGAAAGATATGAGAAATAATTATAATATGCCTGATACTATTAAGAGAATGCTCTATTTCTAGCAATCCGAATTCTTATAAAATTGGAGTCATGCGATGGAAACGCAGAACCCCCTCGGGGAAAGAAATGAAATCAAGACTTATTCATATAAAGGGACCAGGTCTGAGTTCTTTCTTTCTTTACTTCAGACCACGAATCGTCACCCAATTAAAAAAAAAGAATCTTGGAATATCTCCTTTCAGACTGTCTTTTACTCTAGTTTATTTTATTCTATTTAAGTCACTACCTTCTGAACAGACAAAACACGCCCATCTACACCGCATTCCCAAGCACACCGACAACCCCACGAACCGCCGAAACAAATCCCAGAGTAAGCCCTTCGAACCCCCGGCGCCACAGAGACAGAAAGCGAACTCACCTGGAATGAATGCACGAAGATGATAACGAACTGAATCATCTGCATGGTCGTGAGGTATTTCTTCCACCACAGGTAGGGCCTCACCCGGGGGCCCATCGCTGCCAGCAGGTAATAGCCGTACATCACGACGTGGATGAAGGAATTGAGGATGCAGAGTAAGGTGATGTGCCCTCCTGAAAAGCCGGGGAGGGGGGTATTGAACAGCGCCATTGATTAAAGGTTCGTTGATAAATTACTGATTTGCTGGCCATTAAGTTAATCCGATTGGTTGTTCCTCGCAAAGAAATCATTTGCTGTTTGTCAAAATGTTATTGATGCGCTGGTTATTTATAAACTCATTGATTAACTATTCGTCACAAAATTACTGATTCGTCGTTTGCAACAAAGTTAGTGACGTGGTGGCCATCAAAAGTAATATTACTCGATACTTCCGATGAACTGTTCATCACAAATCCTTTAATCAGTTACTTACAAAATTACTGAACAGTTGTTCACAAAGAAACTGATTGGTTTGTTCATCACAAAATTACTGATTAAATGTTCATTAAAACAAATAAATGATAAGTTTGTTCACAATATTACTGATAAGCTTTTCATCGCAAAGTTTCATGCTGGTTGTTCACAAGAACATTTCTATTTACCCGATCACCACAAAATTGCTGATCTGTTCATTACAAAATCTGGAGATCTGTTCACCGGGAGATCTCTGATTAGCCAATTATTTCAAAATTACTACCTGCTCATCTGATTACTTCATAACTTTTGTGATTGGCTGGTCATCGCAACATTCTTTATTGTTCCTCTTTTTTTGAACAATTGTTGATCACGAGATCTCTGATTAGCTATTCATAAGAAAACAAAGCTGTTTTTTATCTGATAACTGTTTATCACAAAATTAATGATTAGATATTCGCAAAAGATTTAATTACTGGTCAGTTGTCCTTCAGAAATTATGAAATATCAAAGGACCTTTTTTGGACAATGACATCATAGGAATCGAGTGTTTTAATGGAATTAATCATTTATTTCATTTTTACACTTTCTTCCGCCTCATAATTTTCCATTCATATAATCAAGTGATAACTCCTCTTAGGGAATAAGCCTTTGAAAGGATATATGAAATAATAAGGGGAAAAATAACAGAAAAACCAACATTGAATAAAAGATGAAAATAACAAAAATTAAAAGAGTGAAAGGGAAAAAACTAACACCAAAGTATAATATTAAGGGCCAAAGATAAAAAAAATCAAATAAAAAAGACTAAATGAAATGGAAAAAATACGCAACAATATGATATGAACAAAAAAGGAAAAAGATATATAACATAAAAAGAAAGAAAAACATACCCCCAAAAAACAAACAAACAAAAAAATAAATCTATAAAAACAAAACAAAACAAAAAATTGTATATATCAAAAATAAAATAAGAGAGAAAAGCAACAAAAGAAATGCGAAAGGAAAAACAGAAAACAACAAACAAAAACAAGTACCTGGCTGGAAGCGCACTCCATTCCATGCGCAGGCGGGCATGAGCGCATGGTGACTCACGTGCAGAAGGGAGATCATGCTATATTTTTTCCTTAACACAAAGAAAATCTGAAAATGAAATCGTATGAGATAGCAAAGAAGAAGAAGAAAGTGAAATTAGAGCTTGTTCTCTGCGCCATCTTTTACGAGCGCAAGAAATCGTCTGTTTTTTTTTTTTGTTCTCTCTCACACTAAAAAAAGAGAGAAAAAGCAAAATCTTTTACATTTCTTCTCGTTTAAATCGTTTTTAGAAGCCAACTTCACAGTTAACATAAATCGTGTTACACAGCGTCGCTGTGCTTACCGTGTCCAGGAAGTCGATGAGTTTGGAGAAGTAGTACCAGTAGGTCGCGTGCAGCATCTGGCGGGAAGGAAGCGACAAAACACGGTTTATCGATATAGCGTGATGGCGGCATTAATAATGTCAGCCAGGAATCCTTAAGTGTGTGTGTGTGTGTGTGTGTGTGTGTGTGTGTGTGTGTGTGTGTGTGTGTGTGTGTGTGTGTGTGTGTGTGTGTGTGTGTGTGTGTGTGTGTGTGTGTGTGTGTGTGTGTGTGTGTGTGTGTGTGTGTGTGTGTGTGTGTGTGTGTGTGTGTGTGTGTGTGTGTGTGTGTGTGTTGGGGGAACGCGCGCTACGCATATGCGTGTGCGTGTGCTTGTACATGTGCGTGTGTATAAGTTAGCGTCAGCTTTTGCTGTTGCATGT